GCAGTCAGGATTTCAGGAAGAGATGACCTTGACCATATTCTAAACCAACAAGGACTCCTTTGTTCCCAGCATCCTTACCAATTGCCCTTAGCCCTAACTAGTCATGGAGTTACCCCTCATGTTGCACCCTTCCTTTTTTCTTGCCCATGTTCTGCCCTTTATCCTCCTAATTTCTACCAAGTACAATTTATTGCCCCCTTTTTTCCTTGCTGCTTGATCCTTATTTGCTGTCTTCCCTTTCTTGCTGAATGCAGAAGGGCTTAGAGACAAAGATTTCTCTTTCTTGAATGTGGAGTCATGGCTCTTTGGCCAGATGATGAACTGTTCCCCTAGGATTCTCCACTTCCGTTTGTATTTTTTTGTAATGTTTTCCTTCTATCAGTTGTATTCCTCAACTTGTGGGGATTAGATGATTAGAAACACTGATCATGCAATGTGATTTCATGGCCATATAATTACAGGTTTAATCTCTCCTCTCTTTGGCAGTAGGGAATGCAATTGGATCACAATCACCTTGTGCTAAGCAACCACCTGGCCATTGTTTCCTAATATCAAATGCTATGCCCCATGATTGGCTACGTCTGCCTCATTTGAATAAAAGCCATATCCTTCCTCCCAGTAGGGATGGAGTATTGTTGTAGCCACGATGGTTGATCCCTAGGATCAAGGTGATTTTAGGGACATCTTTTCTTGGACCAATCATATAGGTAGGAAAGAATTCCCTATTTCAATTTCTACTTTTTCTGTCACATTTTTCTCCCAGACAGTCTTTTCGCTTAGTTAGAGAAGTTTCTTGGCACCAGGTGCCCTTCTTCTGTGCACTCGTCTAACATTGCTCCCAAATTTTACACATGGTCCAGTAAAAGACAACTCCAAAAGTCCTCCCCTTGCTTCTCACTTACACTGCCTTTGTCAGGCACAGAGACAGAGAGTCACTAGCCCCATGCTCAACTTTCTCAAACACCTCCTTCCTCCTGTCCCACCCTTCTCCTTCCTGACCCTGAGTCTCTGCCACCCACCTGAGTCCTCCCTAGAAGGAACCTAAGGAAAATTCCAGTCCTTTGCTGCCTCCCCCCAGATCACCTTCAGGCACAGCTGAGCTGCTCTGGAGAAACAGGTGTAGGAATAGAGAAGTGGCAGGAGGAGAAGGGAAAGGAGAACTAGAGGAGGGAGGAAAGGCCCCTGTGGAAGTCAAAAGATTGGTGGGGGGGAGCTCTTGTTGAGTCTGGCTTGATCCCCCGTGGCTGAGACTTGGAGCAGCCCCTTTGTTTTCAGTGCAGCAGCAACTAAGTCAGAGTGGCAGACAGCTGAACAGGGCTGCAGGGGAATATAGGGACCAAAGCTTCCCGCCCATCAAAAGGGTACAACTGGGTATTTTGTCCTGAGATCAAACATTCCCGGGGGCCTGAACCGGTTGAGATTTGGCAGAGTTCACAAATGGCTTTTACACCCAAGTTACTACTATGTTGCTGCGTGCTAGGGCCCTGTGACCCGCACCTGAATTACAGACTGTGACTGAGAAGGGCCACAACCCTGGACTCATTAACCACAAGGAAGGGTTGGGGACCAGGCAGAGAGAGGGGCCCAGCTGCACCACTTGGCCCAAACCCGAGAGTTTCTGGTGGTGGCACCTGTGGGGCAGAAGGGATGGACAGATGAGAGGTAGTAGCCCTGGGACCAGAAATAGGAATCAGATTCTCCCTCACCTGTATCAGCTTCAGCCAGAGAGACCTGCCACCATGAAGGTCTGTTCAGGTCTGAGTCCCTGGCCTGGGGTTCTGGGATTTGCCTGCCAGGCTGATGTCAGCCCTCTATGAGGTCACCATGTCTCTGGCCCAATGCCTGATAGCCTATTGATGCATCTCTATGAGCTCATTGCCCCACCCAGTCAGGCTCATCCCCTACCCATATCAGTCCCTTCACTGTATAGTCTAGCACAGGGGTAGGCAACGTTTTTCGGCTGGAGTGCCAAAAAAACCACAATGTCTACCTTGGAAGGTGCTGGAGTGCCAGCATGCCATAAAAACAAAATGAGGGCAGGGGAGGGGAGTGGGGTATATGGCAGGACATGCTGCATATTAGTATATTTAATAATCATAAATGTTGCCTTTGTTGTTGGGTATTCCTTTTTTGTTAAGCATGTTACAATGAGAAAGAAAGAAATAGAAAGAGAAAGAGAAAGAGCCAGATACGCACGCGCACACAGAACCACATGTGTAGAAACAGAGAACCAGAACATGACCAAAACAGACACGTGTGCACACACAGACACAGTGGCAGACAGACACACAGAACCAAACGCACAGGTGCATGGAGCCGGGCTGCTGGGCCACCGGACAAAGTCCAACCCAACAATGCCCTGGGTCCACTAGAGCCCCTGTGCTTCCCTGGGGAGCCAGCCACCAGGCTGCAGTGCAGCCAGCCAAGGCCCTGGCCCCGAGCCTGCCCATCAGCTCAACCACCCACCCACCCCGCACAGCTAAGACCACAAAGGTGCAGTGCTCCTGGCAAGGAGCAGCACCAGCCTCATCCTGGTGAGGGGGCTGGGCCAGGACTGGGCTCGGAGCATGTGGGAGTCAGGCAGGCTTAGCTGCAAGTTGTGCTGCAAGCAGGCCAGGCTCTGTGGTTGGCAGCTGCTCTCCAGAGCCGGGGCTGGCTGCAGCCAGGAGGCTGCAAACAGTTGCTCCAGCATCAGCTCCATCCCAGCGGGTGCACATGCGCCTCAGAGCAGATGGTGGGGGAGTGGCCTGTGGCAGCAC